AGTTATCCAGGGCCCGGGGTAGGGTGTGTCAGTTATCCAGGGCCCGGGGCGGGGAGGTGCCGGTTCGCTCACGCTCCGGGGCGGAGTTACTTTCGGCGGGCATTTTGTTGGCGCTCTCTCCGTTTCTGTGTCTGTGGGGTTGGGTGTCGGCGGGTACGGAGTAGCTGCTCGGGAATCGGTTGTCGGTGTCCACTTCTCTTCGGTAAGAGCGGTGTCTAACGTGGTTTATCTCGGGAGGACTCTCGCAGTCCGGGGCTTGAATGTGGCCTCCTTTGAAGTGAAGCAAATTCCTCCTTTTAATGTCTCCGTTTAACACAAAAGATTATCAAAAACATCTGAAAAATTCAAATAAACTGCAGGTTAAAATGAGGCAGAGTTACATATGGGAGGGTGGGACTGTTTACTTTGGCTCATTAATTTAATGATTATACAGTCATTAGTATCCCTGCAGTGTGGAAGCAGGCCATTCGGCCCATCGAGTCCATACTAACCCCACCTTATCCCTGTAACCCTGCACATCCCTAGATGCTATGTCAGTATTTCATCAATTTTGTTCTTCAGTGTCAGTGGGCCATAACAAATTCGGGTGAAGGTTTTGGGGTTTAATCACCAAAATTTTATGTGAGGGTTTTGCTTTGATATTTTGGATGGTCAAAGCAATGAACTCTTCAGTAATCTGTTGACATGAGTGTAGTGATTGAGTTGAGGAGTGCCAGATTGACCTCATAGAATATGAGTTCCCTAATTGAGGCTGTTAATCTCGTCCAATTGTAGAGTTGTACACGATGGAAACATACCCTTTGGTTCAATTCATCTGTGCTGACCAGATGTCCCAAATAAATCTAGTCCCATTTGGTCCATATCCCTCTAAGCCCTTCTTACACATCCAGATGCCTTTTAAATGTTGTAATTGAACCAGCCTCCATCAGGGAGTCCTGGCTGAAAGATGTAATCAAGAGTGTCAGAGGTTCTGTTCACTCAGCTGGCTCTGAGGAAGCTGGATCAGTGTCAAGGACACTTTACATGCAATTAAAGTGTTACTTGGTGACGGGATAATGGCCTCTGGAGTTATTTCAAGAAGCGTAGAAATAAATTGGATAGTCTGGTCCTTTTCATTGAAAAGAATATCCCTCCTCCACTTCTGGACCAGACCCAAGAGCTGCCCTGGTTATTTGGCTGACCTTTATCAGTCAAATCAACATTGATGAAAACAGGTCACTCAGTTGAAGTGCAAACTTGCATTTATATAGTGCCACCCATAAACACTAGAAGTCACAAAGCGCTTTCCAGCCAGTGGAGTCCGGTTGAGGCATGGACACTATTGTCCTGTGGGTTCTCCGAGCTTCTGTGGACAAGAGAGGAGGGGTCTGCAAGATAAATGAACAGACTGACTGAAGCACTGCATGGCAAGCCGTTTTGGGGAATGCAGTTTTCGTCATTACAGTTCCTCATGCTGACAACCGACATAGGATTGGCATATACTGGAAGCTATATATATTGATACACAGGATCCTGTTTATGGCAGACAAAATACTTACACTCACTGTCCCTGTTTCAGCAACAAAATATTAACAGTAATTCTCTTCCTTTTCTAAGGGCAGTGCCTTAACCAATCAGAGTCAACCTGTCTGGCTAAAATTTAAACAAAGCTGGCAGTTAACTGTCAGTCATTATTAACTTGTGCATTTTCCATGGCAGTGGTTCAATATATCAGTCACTACTTGCTTAGCCATCAGCACTCCTCATGCAGTATAAATATTGTTTTGCCTTGGTTTTGATGGTGTTAATTGTCCTGATGACTACAAAATGAAAAGCTTTGGTAAAGTGTATTTTCTTTTCGAAAAAGCAGCAAGGACAAAATCACAAACAAGAGAATTCAGAGAATGGAGAGAAAGCTAGCTAAAACTCTTAAAAGCAGATTGTTAATATTTGTAGAAACTCCATTAAAAATACTTAAGTGACTGTACCTCCCTTGGAGGGCAAGACAGTGGAATTATTAATAGAAAACACCGAGCTGGCGGAAACATCAAACAGTTTATTTTGTCCGTCCTCACATTGGAAAACAAAAAAACAGTAGTTGAAAATCAAGATGTGAACGCATCAGAGAAACTTAAAACAATCACACTCACCAGGAGGTAATGGGAAAGAATTAGAATTAAAGGCTGACAAGTCCGTTGGACTGGATGGCATGTTCTGTTGGTTTTAAACAAAATGGCTGCAGAGGTAGTAGCTGCATTGGTTATGCAATCTAAAATCCTAGATTCCTGTTCCATCACATTGAAAGTTTGCAGATTCAAGAAAGGGAGAGGCCAAAAGTATCAGTAAACAGGCAATGCTATAAGGGATGGAGTTCCAGGTTTTTGACTCATTCAGAGAAGTCCTGAAAATGAAATGACTTGACACTCTCCATCTCAACCACCAAGGTTTGTACCAGGTATACTCTCAAGAGTGGAGAGTTCACCCTCCTCCCTGCACAGGATTCTCATTGACTCCAGTTTTGGTGGGTTTCCAGGATTCCGCTTTCGAATGCCTAAGGCAGTCATGCTCTCCTTGCCTCTGGAATTCAGATCTTGTCCATTTTGGACAGTGGCTAGAATAAGGCCATGAACTCAGTGGTCCTTGTGGAAACCAAACTGAGTGTCATTGAGCAGATTATTACTAATGTTGCTTGATAGCACTGTTGATAATTTACATCAATTTACTGTTGAGGGAGAGTGGACTGATGAAACAGTAATTGTTTGGATTGGATTTGTCCTATGTTTGTGTGTATAGGACGTTCCTGGCAGTTTTCCATATTATTGAGTAACTGCCAATATTGTAACTGTATAGGAACAGCTTGCTAGGGTTGTGCTAAGTTCTGGAGCATTTGTCTTCAGTACTTTCGCTAAAATGTTGTCAGGGACCATAATCCTTTGCAGTGTCCAATGCCTACAGCCATTTCTTACATATCACATGGAGAATGAATCACATTGGCTGAAGACTGACACCTGTGATGCTGGGAACCTTCCGGATATGAAACAACCACCCTTCACTTCTGGCTGAAGGTTGTTGCGTTTGCTGCAACCTTATCTTCTGCACTGAAGTACTGGGCTCTTCTATCATCGAGGATGGGGATATTTATGAAGCCTCCTCCTCCAATAAGTGATTTAATGTCCACCACCATTCACAACTAGATATGGCAGGGCTGACGCCCTTCGACCTGATATGTTGATTGTGGAATTGCTTAGCTCTGTCTGTTACTTACTGCGTATGTTTTTGGTACACAGGTAGTCCTGTTTTGTAGCTTCACCAGGTTGGCACCTGTTATGGACCAGAACAGACCCCTCAAAATATTTTAAGAAGATAGCCTAGATCCTAAGATTTTCTTATTTTAAAGGTAGATGTGAAGTGTTGTGTTCCAGATGTGCTGCAACTGGTCAAACTACTCAAGGTTAAGCAAAATGCAATTTATTTAAACACTATAGTTAAAATGCAAACGAAATAAAGAGCAGAGTGGTGGCTCAGTGGTTAGCACTGCTGCCTCACAGCGTCAGGGACCTGGGTTCGATTCTGCGCTCAGGCAATTGTCTGTCTGGAGTTAGCATATTGTCCCCGTGTCTGCGTAGGTTTCCACCGGGTGCTCTGGTTTCGTCTCACAGTCCAAAGATGTGCAATGTTAGGTGGATTGGCCGTGGGGAAATGCAGGGTTACAGAGATAGGGTAGAGGGATGGCTCGGTGTGGACCCAAGGGGCCAAATGGCCTGTTTCCATGCTGTAGGGATTCTATTCTATTCTATTTATTCTATTCTATGAATTTAGAATAAATTAATGATTCAAAAACTTAACCAAATAATAGATACAGTACTCATTACTAATTCACTGTTCCAATATAGGAACATCCCATAAACACACCCCTTGGCAAGAAGGCAAATTCAGACGCAGATTCTCTCACAGTTCTCCAATCCAGGAGTCAACAAACATTGAGAAAATTCAGTGAAAGTTATTGCTAGGAGACATTCACTGAAGCTTCCAATTCTTTTGATACCCCAAAGGCTTCTACTTAAAACTAAACCTAAAAACTGGAAAAAAAACTAGAAAGCCTGGCCTGTTGGAGCTGGCCACACCCAGGCTGCTTCCATTGTTCCAACTTTTTAAAAAAAACACCCGAAGGCCTCAAAAATTGTTTACTTTCTTAGAGACAGCTCAAAACCTCTGCCTTACAATCTCTCCCAAAAAAAACCTGGACCTCTTAGAGTGACAGCATCGCGTCACACATCTCATTTTTAGGTGTATCAGAGATAGTAGGAACTGCAGATGCTGGAGAATCTGAGACAACCTTTAGCTCTGTCTGTTACTTACTGCATATGTTTTTGGTACACAAGTAATCCTGTTTTGTGCCATGATTCTATTGTACAGCGGAGCAGGCTCGAATGCCTGAACGGCCTATTCCTGCTGCTATTTTCTTTGTTTTTGTGTTTCTCTCCCTGAGCAAAACTTGCATATTTACTGACCACCTGGATGCTTTATTTTTAAAAGAAAATATGTTTGTTTGTTTCCCTGTGACATAGGACACATTGCTAGACCACAGCCAATATTTTTCCTCTCTTCCACCTTCATTTAAAAGGGCTAAACTGCTCACCTGATTTCTTCAAAGCCTAATTTTAATGTATCTGAGCACATTTATAAACACGGCATCACCACTCAGAAATCAAGCGTGAAACTAAACCCATGCCTCCATTTAATCCATACGATATAGAAATCCAAATTAAATGTGAAGCTGTACACTTTGAAATCTAGGTTTCCAATTAATAATATCTTGTGACTTTTCATCACTTCAGTCATATGAAGACCCATGGCAGAAATGCATGACCCTGAGTTTTTGTCATCCTTAAACAGTCAACAGCAATGACTTCAATGAGTCCATTTGCTTGCAGTCCAAGTATATCCCAAAACACGTGCATTTTCCGTGCTGGCACATCTATGTGGACATGATCTCAATAGGCCAGCTGTAAGAGCAGTGTAGGGAACAAGGCAAATCACTTTTTCTTTCATCTTAATAAGAACCTGAAAGTATTCAACACTGTCAGCAGAACAGGATTCTTCAAGATCTTGGAAAAATTGATTATCCAGCAAAACTCTGCAGTCTCATCTCTCCTTCTGTGACAACATGCACTGTGCTATGTCATGAGCCTGACGGGAATATTAGTCAAGGTATAGAGTTTA